AAGCAGATCTCTGCTTCATCAGCTTCTTTTGGGGTCCACAGGTGACATTAGGGGTCCTAGAGACCCCTAATGTCTCCGTAAAGAGGACCTGTCAGTGTGCCTTTGCTACTATATAGGGGGATTGTTATCCCCCTATATAATAGCAATAACAATAAGTGCAAAAAAAAAATAAAAAAAAATTAAAGTAACATATAAAAAAGTAAAATAAAATAAAAGTCCCATACAAAAAAAGTGAAAAAACCCCAAATGTTTAACTCCCCCACCCCCACATTTACGCACCTATAAACGTAAATACGCGCCTGGTGCCCCAGCGCGCAAAAAAAAATGACAATTGCGCTACACATGTTACATATCGCCACGAATGTCGCAGTGAGAGCAATCATTTTAGGGCCATCAATCACTGATAACACTAAACTGATGAGCAGTAACAGCTTTTAAAGCGTCGCCTATGGCCAATTTTGGGTATTATGGTTTTTTGAGGTTTCACTCGCGCACGCAATTTTAAGGCTTGACATGTTTGGTGTCTTTTATATTTTACCAAAAAATTGGGTAATAATAAATGTTTTATCATTTAATATAGGGGAAACTATGTTTTTTTAAAAAAATTTCGGTAATTTTTCCTTAATATAGTAAAAAATAAAAACCCCAGTGGTGAATAAATACCACCAAAAAAAATGGTCTGGATGGGAAGGGGGTTTAATACCGTGGATGTCAACTGGTTAATTACTAGATATGCAACCCCACAAAACAATTAATTTAGTTTCGTATTGATTCGGATTTTTATTTACTTTAGTTTTCGGATTTCAGATCTGAAAATTCAATTTGTTTCGTTATTCAGATTTCATATCTGTCTGAATTTTCATTTCGGAACAATCCACTACAGGATGTCACATGACTATGCCTGTAATGCAACCCCCAAGGCCACAAAAAATCTGATTAGCAATAAAACAGTTACATGTACGATTTAGTTTACCTTTGAACGGAAATTCGGACGGATATGATTTTTCATTAAACGAACATTCAAATTTCTTCGCATTCAGATACGTTTGAATTCGGAAATTTGGATGCATCCAAATGTACGAATGTAACAAAATTTGCACGAATATCCATTCAGAACAAAACGAAAATTACATGTGTAACGAGCCCCTGCTCGCTCTGTTCCACTCTCCCGGCACTCCTCTGCTACTATTGGATCAGATGTCAGACCGCACATCTGATTCTTCGATCGTCTGATAATCCGGGATTCGAACTACAGCTATGTGCCGTTCGAATCCAGTTGTGATAGCTCAGAACAAACACCAGCCAGGCTGTATGTAAGTTCCAACAGGGATCTGCTTTATTGAATGCACACACACACACTTTTATACACCACAGTTTGAACACCCCGCCCAAACAACCACTTCCTATTGGTCATGCAAATGAAGGCTTGAAACAGAGTCAGCAGGGATGGGTCCGATAACTTGAAGGGGAGGGCTGATATGGGTAATGACACAGAGAAGTCCCGGGAGATAATTACATTACATAAACAACAAACAGTCAAACATAGAACAATGCCTTCCTTCCAGACCACAGAGCCGTTTGGAGGGGATTAGCCTTAAGACAAACTGTGAACAATGAAACAAACACAGAGTGATTCAAGGGTGGAGGACCCACCACTGTGTAATATAGTCAAGGAAACATGGTTCAGTATTCCAAGGACCATGACAATACTCCCCCCTGGGAAACCGTCCAACAGCCACAGTGGGACCCCAAGCGGGTCAACTCGAGGATGTTGGAAAAGTAGTCTTAAGGTTCCAGGTCCACCTGCCGGGATAATCCATTGTCATTAACATTGGATTTCCAGAGCGATATTGCATTGTGAAATTGGACAGCTGTAGGGCAAGGCTCCCCCGCAACAGCCCTCCATGGGCCCTGGACACCCAGTTAAACCCACAAGGGGGGGTCTCTATAGTCCTAGGTCCATAGTCGCCAGGAAGGAGGCTAGCCCTCAGGCTCCTCCAGCAGCCCCAGTGACAGTTCAGTCCGTCACAACATGTCTATTAATTACCTTCACCAGTGTTAGCCACATATTTCACCATGGCACACTATATGCTCTGCTAGTAAACACCTCAGTTTTCTAACGCACTAAGCACGAGGCATCCTGTGCTTCTATTTTGGAGCACAGCGTGCAACATGACTAATATCGCTGTTCCCTACATGCACCGCAATTGCCCTTGACTCATCCTGAATTTTTGGCTCACTTTTAAAAGTTCTAAGGTAGGACATTCAGTACAACAAGGAGAAGATAAAAACAATTGCAGAATAGACATCAGTTAGGTGCAATGAGCTCAAAGCACCCAATGAACCATTTAATCGTGCTCAGTGTTTGTTACACTTATTGTTTGATTTTTTAACTATAAAGCATTATAAAGCAAGACAAATTACTTGTTGTCATTATTGTACAGTATATATTGTTTACACAGTTTAAAATATTGATTGTTTTGGTTTGCTATAGAAGTTTTTATCATATTTGAGGTCATTAAGAAAAAATGTGCTCACTCAGTAAATTTTCACATTGTGTAAGTAAAAAGGGGAATTTATCAAAATGTGAACAGGCAGAATCTGAAGCAGTTTCCCATTTCGACCAATCAGCTTTTATTTTTTATTTTCAAAGCTCAACTAAACAAACTGAAGAGAGAAGCAAGGCAACTGCTCCAGATTCTGTCTGCTACAGTTTAGATAAATTCCCCCTGTGTGTTTGTTCATAGCAAAGGTACATAATGACAGATTGTAAAATGTACTGTTAAACAATTACACTTTTTTTAAAGCAGTGTAAAAAGGATTGTCTCGGAGCACTGTTTTTTTTTACCAAACCATGTACCTGGTGAATAGCTGTTGTTAAGACAGAAGTAACATCTGTATGTGTAACAAGCACTTACATTTGAATTAGATTGTAAACCTCTGTAAGATTACCTACGTATAAGCTCAATTGTAATGCATTCTTCAAAATT